GGGGGGGGGGGGGGAGTTTCTTGCTTATGTTTCTATCTTATGCTATGCGCAAGCGCAGCTCTTTATCAAAATATGTCAAGGTCAACGGACAGAGGCCTCATCACCACCTGGAGATGCCCACATGATGCTATACACAACTTTTTATTGGGTGGACAATTTGAACTATTGTCGGGGGGGGGGAACGTTGCCATCATTTTGTATACGTGATTTACGTGCTCATTTTCTCAGATTCAGAATTCTTTTGTTGCTACCACTTGATTTCCAGTGAAAGATATCTTTTCTCTAATCTATGGAGTCTTAAGTACTTCTTTCTTGGATTTTGAAAGGAGCACCAGCTGACAAACACATTCCATTCATATATTTACACCTATGTAAAGGACGTTAGCATTTTCAAACCCTGGTGCTTTTCAGATGCATGCCTAAATCTTCTGTGTAGCTGTTAGTGACAAAACTTCTTTCTGACAACCACATTTCACATTGTTCCTGACTATGTCCATTGTGGGAAAATGGGTAATAAACACCTTACTCCTTCACAGGATGCTGATTCTCTCAAGTTGTCTTCAGGTTAGTGTCTTCACTAAGCCTCGGTGGCGCAGTGGTTAGAATGCAATACTACTTCTGCTGACCATTGGTTGCTTGCAGTTTGGCAGTTCAAATCCCACCAGGCTCAAGGTTGATTCACCTTTCATCTTTCCGAGATGAGTAAAATGAGGACCCAAAATTGTCGAGGGCAATAGGCTGACTCTGTAAACCGCTTAGAGAGGGCTGTAAAGCACTATGAAGCGGTATATAAGTCTTAAGTGCTATTGCTATTTAGAGATCCCAGATCTGTATATAGCCAAACTCTGGAATAAACTGCCCACCATTTCCTGTTTTCCTTTGGGTAAGAGCCAGTCCTTAAACTTCTACTGTCTTCTGGGTTCTGCCTCAGTATTTCTTTGTGATCCATGTGTACATGTATAAATTGGCAACTCCCACAGAAGAGATTCTGGAGAGCTGGAAAAGGCATGCCTGTTGCATTTGGCTGATGGGCTAGGTAAAACACTTAGAAGTAATGAGACATTGATTTTACCTTCACTGTTTCAAATCCAGTGAAGCCCTGTGAACATAGACAAATGTGATTTCATTTGATTTTGTTTTCTGTTGTTCTTGCAGGAGAAAAGGATTCTCTCCCTGGATTCAGCCAATACAAGATTGATGAGTGCCCTAACTCAAGTGAAGGAACACTATGGCATGCAGGCCCGGAGCAGCGCCTCTCCTACTAATCCCCCCAGGCTTTCTATCACAGAGAATGGGGAATTTAGGAACAGCAGCTGCTAATTTCAAGTTGTCCCACCAAACGAATTACCATCTTTCATTTCCCTTGCCCACTCCAAGCCTAGTTAATCCTTTCTATCACAGAGGATGGGGAATTTAGGAACAGCAGCTGCTAACTACAAATTATCCCACCAAACAATTTGTCATCTTTCATTTCCTTTGCCCACTCCAAGCCTGATTGACCAACTCCTTTGGTGTTCTCCAAAAACTCCAGGAAAACTGGACTGCCTGCCACCACCATGTAAGACCTGCATTAACAACCTGCTTGGGCTTCCTTTCAACATTGCAGCTGGTAATTACATTTCCACATTTCAGTGTGCTAGTTTTTCAACTTGCCTCGACCATGGCAGCAACATGTCATGGTACATAGGGCAGAAGAGGCTTCAGGGTACATAGGGCAGAAGAGGCATCAATAATTGCCTGACTAAGTGAGCACAGAAAAGACTGCTTAATGTAAGTCAGGGGTCAAAAAAGTTTTTAAAATGAATTGAAAAACATTGATTTTTTTAAAATAAAAAGTCTAAAAAAAACAAGAAATGCATAAAAGTGTAACGAAAAGCTTTAAAAGGTAAGCAAGTTTTGAACATTTCATTAAAAATATGCTATTTAGGGGAATGATAGACATGTTGCTGACCCTGTTCGCTGCTATTTAGGTTTTTTGTTTGCTTGTTTCCTCTAATTCAATGGGCAATCTTAGATTGTTTTTAAACTTAATGTTGTTAAGCAGTTGTTTCACAGACCAAGAACAAGGAGTTTTATCTGAAATGCGCTACCTCCCCCTACCTTCCATTCCAGCAATGAGACCTTTGATAGCACGTAAGGCAGAAAAGAGAGTTAATTGCATCCCATTGTAAGGTTGCCTGCCATACCAAGAAGGTACCCAGGTTAATATGGGAATAGAGAGCCAAATCACCAAGAGGAAAGTGTGGGCTGTGAGAAGGAATGGAAAAGGGTTCACTCTCCACTGCAAGATGTCAACAGGTGTCGACATAATTATAAATGCAGGAGAAGAAGGAAAGAGCCCTCGATAAGAAATGTGTGCATCGGTCACTCCTGACAGCTAGGAAATGCTAGGGAGATAATGGAAGAGTTGCATGATGCAGTTGCCTTGGGTGAAATGTTTTCGGTGAAGATTCTTGAATAGTATTTTCAGCCAGGATTCTTCTCTTCTTTCGCAGGGCAAAATCAGAAGTTCTAACTTCTTTTCTCACTGTAAAGTTCCTTTGTGATGGTTTTAAAAAGGACTGTAAACTTGTCCTGAACAGTTCCCACGGGGGTATCTAGATATTCTTTTAATATAGAAAAAGTAACTGTATAGAAATTGTGTCCTTAACAGAACAAAAATCAGCTCACTTAACAGAAGGAAGTTAAAAATGTTAATACCTTTGTGGCGTACAGCCCGTTCACCAAGTCACTTGTCAGCCATCCCATTTGGCCATTTAAAGAGGCTTCGGCTTCTCAGTCCTCAGTTTGGGATGCACGCACGCCAGCTGTGCTCCTGCCACTGGGGCTTCTTGAGCCAGGGACTCCTCCAGCTTCTTCTTCTCCTCCAATTCTTTGATTGTTGCCCACATCACAGGTCTTTGGCCTCTTGGTGGGCACTACTGTGAAAAGACATTAAGTCATAATGTCAGCCACCCCATTTGGCACATTCAACAAAAGAAACTCACGGCTCTTTATAATGACCAAGAGTGCAGCTTTATTGAAAGCTCCATCTAGGTGCAGCGGAAGCGAAGCCAGTTCTGGGATTTTCCCCTGAAAACCCCCCACTTTTTCCCCTTTGGGCCACCCACAGTTCATAGTTTACCCATTGAGTTCAGTTCTTTTGTTTTGGGAAGGACTGTCTGTGCTGCTCACATAATCTTCATAACTTGTCCTTGGTAGATAACATCTTGCTGGCAACAGAAGACATTCCTGTGTTTTGTAGACTCCCCTTAGGAATTCACTACCCCGCTCCCATCACTGTATGGCACACTGTGAGCAAAGGCAGGTGCAGGCAACTATGGAGTAGAGTCAGGTTTGATACCACTGTTCAGCTATCTCTCATCGGCAACTACCTTACTCTTTTCTTGCACAATGAACCATAAACCATCCTTAAAGCCAATTGTTTTCTTCTCAATGGCTAGTATTTCATTCTTTGTCTTGATAAAGATAGAAGACAAACTCTTTACTTGTGGTCAAAGGAGGGCAGCCCTGAGATAAAGAATATTTTTCTGATGTTCCAGAGAGTGGCAAGTAGGAACTTCCCCAGTAGCATGGCATTCAAGGGATTAGACTTCAATGTTCTCATTTAATTGCCAAACTGAAAGCATGCAACAAGAGTCCCAAGCAGTGGGCAGAAGATTTCAAAGGCCAGGAGTTGGCAAAAAGTGGACCATGGACCTAAACTTGTCTCCTGGCTGTTCATTCAGCCAGCAAGTAAATTAATAGGGCCAAGCTTCTGGTGCAAGGGGACTGAAGATTGGAGTGCTAGTGAGCAGTGCTGGTAGCAGACTCTTTGTTGACAAGCTGGCATTGTCCAATCACTACCATGTTCCTTGGCCTGAAGATCTGCCAGACACACCCACAAAGGTGGAGGAGGGGTGAGAAATGGCCCTATCCAGAACAAACTTGCTGACCATGGTCTAGGCATTCAAGTGTGCAGTTTCAGGATGCCAGAGGTTCAAATCTCTGGCACATGGAGTCCAAACCGGCCAAGTCTATCCAACAAGGGAAGCTCAGCCAATGGTGGCTTCTATGCCAGTACCCTGTGGGGACTACTGAAGACTGGGAAACAGCTTGGCTGATTGACAAGACGTGTGAAGTGCTTTTGCTCTGTTCACTGTAACATGCAATTACTCAAAGACTTGCTTCTGGTCCTCAGATTGCTGGAACCCTCCAGTCCACGGAAAAACCATTGAAGTCTAATCCCTTGAATGCCATGCTACTGGGGAAGTTCCTGCTTGCCACTCTTTGGGAATTGCTAGCTAGATCAGCCTCAGGTGCTTGGTTGCTCACCAGCTCTTCGGGCTGATGCTTGCTTGATGCATTCAGAACACATTTCTTGCCATCAGGATCCTCTGAATCTCAGCTACCCATGACATGAATCCATCTGCCCTCTTCCAAGAAGAAATGAGCCAAAAAAACCCAGAAAGCAGAGAAGGGTAGAGGAAGTTTTCTTTCTTAATAAGGCAGGATCCTAACTTAATGGAGAGAAGTAGGGCTGCATCCAAAGTAGGGCTACATCTACAATATTCACCAAGAAAGAACTGTAGTCCTTATCATATTCTATATGATTTCAGGGGTACTTTCAGTGTTTCTTATTAATAAAGAAACAAAGCTAATGAGATTCTACTGCCATATAGGCAGTTCCCCCCAATTTTCTGGGCACCAGGGACCTGTTCCTTGGAGAATGGTTTTTCCATAGACTGGAGGGGCATGGTTTCGCATGCTGCCTGCATTCTGCGGATGGGGCTTCCTTTGTTTGCATGGCCCAGTGCCTTGTGCTAAAACAATTATAATGTTCACATCCAGGAAGAGGAGAAATGCCTATCTCTATTCAAGACTGATCTCACATTATAGTCACTAAAGACCTGTATGAAGGGTTTCTAAAACTCCGCAGTTAAATTCTCACCCTTAAGAGCATAAGTGGAATAGTCAAATAGTTCAATGAAAACAAAAAACCCTTTTTGACATTAAAGCTAGGAATCCAGAGATAGTATTAATCTTTTTATCTTTTTTAAAATTATAATATTTAGTTTATTCAAGAAAAGTTTCAAATAAAAAACACAAAATATTGAAAAAAAATAAAAAAGAAAAAAACCAACAAACAAGATAAAAAAGTGTCTTAAAATTTAACACATATACACGTAACATCCTCCCTAGCTGAATGTTCATTAATATAATACAACAATGTTAATCTCCCACCCCTTACAAAACAGACCCAAAAAAACATTAAACTACTCAGCTACTGAATCTCTTTACATAATTTAGTTTACCATCTATATATTGTATTAGTAACAAAACGGTTTACAGGAAAAACAAAAGTGATAAGAATATATAAAAATAATAAACATTATCAATAATAATGAAAATGAGACAAGATTAAAATTCCAAAACCCTCTGTTAACAAACTGCTATTGTAGAAAATTTACCATAGCTTCTTTTGAAACTTTTTATTGGTTTATCAAAATATAAAATACAAAGAAACATTCAAAATTCATATTAAGAGAATCCTCTATATTATTTCAAAAAAAAAAAAACTATCCCTTTAAATTTAAAGGAGAAAACACTTTTTCTAGTTTTGATATCTAGTATATATAAAGGGGGGAAAAAACCCTTCATTTTAAACCCAGAACACAATACAACTGTCAGGTTCTGATGTAATAGGATGAAAAAAAAACCTCAGGCTTTGCACTCTCAATGCCTACATGCCATTAAAACCACTGAGACCAGAAAGGGTTGGATGGCATACATACAATGGGATCATTCTCTTCGTCATCATCATTCCCACCACTGTCAAGTGCCTCATTTCAGCTATGGTCCCAACTGGGGTTGGTGAACTTGTTTGCTGCGCCTCTTGAGATTTTTCCAGGGTTTTCTTGGTTTTTCACGCCGTTGTTGCATCCCCGAGGTACCCATGGAGGCTTTGGCACCTGCCTCGGGGCAATCGACTGGTGGCCCAGCTTCCCACATCGGAATCATATTATTGGTGGCGGGTGGTTGTGGTCTTCTCAGTTGTTGTCATCGGGGTTGGTTGTGCTCTGGGGTCATTGCTGGCCGATCGGTCTGGGGCTTTCTGGGGCCGCATGATCTAGTCCCCTCTCCTTGATATATTCAGCCACTGGCTTTCAGTTTGCCAATTAAATGAGAACGTTGAAGTCTAATCCCTTGAATGCCATGCTACTGTCTCCCAGTTCTGCAGCATGGTCACTTTATAGGTCTTGATCCAGTCAGCTGTCTCTCCTTCCATCATCGGTGCTACCGCCATCACCATGGCCCTTTGGGACATGTATAGGTGCGCATACTGGTCCATGTGATTGAGCATCTGGCCCAAAAAGAGAGCCACTTTATCTGGACTACTGTCAAAGGACGCTTGCAGGGCCGTTGGATCCCAAGGGCTTAATGATCCTTGGTCATGCCTTGCCACAGGCCAGGAAGTTGTTGAGGTTCGGCTCTCATATCTTAAGGGCCTGCCGAATAGTAGGTGCGGTCTCCAGTCTCTTCTCTACCTCCGTAATCTGTCCCGGCCTTTCATAGTGCAGGTTTGGGCTAACCAATCGAAAGCAGCTTGAAGCCTTGTTAGGTATTGAGGCTCAAGAGGAGGGTGGGCTACCTCTCCTTCCCTCCTCCATCCTGTCTCAGGACTCAGCTCTTTGAAACTAGCAGCTCGAAATTTTTCTCTCAGCACTTCCATTGTTTGGCTGCCTATCACTGTGGAGTGACTCCATTTGCCCTCAGAGATACGTCACCCCTTCC